ACACCTCCCTCCTCCTCTGGGCGTTCCCTCTCCTGACGGCGTCTCTTCGTCTCGTCCCACATTACTGCTCCTGCCCTCTCCTGACCGCTCGTCTTACGGCCCTCCTCTTCCTCCTCCTCCTCCTCCTCCTCTTCCTCCTGAGAGCCGGGGAGGTCGGAGAGTGATCCTCCTCCGAGTCTCCGTCTGCACAGAGCCGTGCTCCCGCCGCCAACCACGTCAGCTGCTTCATGGTTTCCTAAGATTAAAGGTCAAAGATGAGCGTCACTCTGACGTCACCAACTCACCAGGGTATGATTTATAAACGTGCGCACGCCACTTCCAACGCAAAGGTTGTGATCTATAAAACGAACCTGAGGGACGTGCTCTCCTCCTCCTCCAAACTCTGAGCATGTGGACGAACAGAAAAGGATCATCCAAAAATTTAAGCTGCAAGCAGCGTTGGGCGAGCCCTCGCACGTGTAGCACGTCGAGGTGCGAGGCGGCCGCGTTGCAGATTCTGGAACTCTGACAGTGCAGCTGTGAATTTGCCACAGGCTTCGGACAAACGTGTTATTTGTCACTTGTCACAAATCTGAAGTAGTCGGACTAACTCCCTAGGAGTTCATTAAAGTACAAGGGTGTAAATCGCCATAAATTCCCATTTAATCCAAAATGGCCGACTTCCTGTTGGGTTGAGGGCATCGCTCCAAGAGGCTTTTTTGTGTGTGCGGACTTGATACATGTACCCAGAAATTGACGTAGGTGAAACTTTGTCCGGTAGCTGCTCTGTCGGGGCGCCGAGGAGCCATTTTGCCACGCCCATGCGCGAAACCCTTAAAATCCGAAATTCTTCGCCATGTATGAATTTTGTGCAAATTTTGGTGAGTTTTCAAGTACGTTTAGGCCCCCAAAATTGAGGTTACTTTGCAGAAAAAGAAAAATAATCCTGCCTAAATATGTCAGCTGTGACCGATATTAAGTGACATTAACAACTTATTATTTAGGCTTTTCATATTGTAGTCGGACCAGCAATAACAAGAAAATCAACAATATAAATCTACAACCTAATCATTTTATTTAGCCTACATACAGGCTCTAACTTCTTAAATAGAACTATTAGCGGTTCTTATGATCTGAACAGCTCAGGGTGGTAAGAGCTTCTCTATAGAGACGGACTTGCTTCGACTCTCAGGGATTTATTCATTACAGCACTTTCATGCTGTCTTTCTGTTTCTAATGAAGACTAGAGAGCAGAGCCTGGAAATGTAAACTGATATTAGAAGTCTTTACATTCTCTGTTTTTTCCTTTGAACTGGGAAACTAATGTTAGATTAAGTTACACCTGCTGTTTGTGGCTGGAATACACTAAGGTACTGAATCAATGCAGCTCTACCCACAAATACATTTAAAAGTACTTTTACAACTACTTTTAAAAACGCTTCACCTTAAATATGTTTGTCTAGCAGGATTTTCCGACATTGCTGTTGACTCACATCACATCCACCTCCTCACGCTCAGCGTTTCCCATTAATTAACGAGACCACGGCGGCCCGCCATAGTCTCTAAATGAACCGAAAATAGTTTGATACATCTCATAATAACGTTTCAGACCTCTAACAGTGTGTTTTGTGGGCGCTGCTGTGAGCTCGCACGCTCTGGCATCTGACTCGAGACAACCATTTTTCTTTTGAGGTAACGTTAACGGCCTGTCACTCGTCTGTGAGCGCCTACATTTGGAGTGCACACGTATTCCAGCCTTTACGGTAAGTGAAGCGGCCCAGAGCGAGCTGACAGGCAGGTTAGAGACTTTATCCTGTCAGTTTGTTTCTTTAGTATGAAGAGAGGCTGTGAAGACGAGAAGCACATACAACATTATTTATCAAACACACGTGACAACGTCCGGTTTTCAAAATAAGGCGTCTGTACAGGATGGAAATAAGATTCATTGGATTATATTTACAGAAAGTATAAAACAGTCACATTAAAAGTAAAACAACAACAATAAGATGTCAGGGAAGTTACTTATTATACTTACTATTCTTTGATTTAGAAAAACATAATAAAATAAAATAAATTTGTTGGCTTTTGTTGCCGTTTCATCACTATTTATGCTCTACAATGGCTTTAAGGGTAAATTTTATTAGAGCACAACATTGTTTACAAGTGTATATTTAATTTTGCACCAAATTAATGCATTTAATTTTAAAATTTAGAAAATCTTTCTTCCAAGGGGCCATGGCCCCAGACCCCCCAACAGGGTCCGGGGCCCACCCACCATCGTCTCTTAAGATCCTGTGGGAAACACTGCACGCTGCATCTTCTGCTCTCTGTGACGTGAACTGAGCTTCTAACCACAGCTCAGCAGCTGGAGTTCAAACTAAGCAACTTAACGACAGATCGTTCGTCGAGGAACACCTGCGTCGCTTAACCATAGTTTGTACCTGTAAGTTACCAACTTAGTTACCTCCGTAGTCCGAACGAGGGTTTTGGGAAACGCAGCCCAGAGCCGCGCAAGGCGTGTACATTTTACAACATCTAACCAAACTAGAGGAGAACGTGCTGGATGATGGCACCAGCCGAACCGACACAGGCGGCGGCTGCGCTGACGTGTTTCAGCAGCAGAGCGTTCAGCCTGCATGTTGTTAACGTGTTAATTTGTCATTTTGTGAACTACAGATCGCAGCTCTCTGTGGCTGACATTAAGTATCCACATGGAGCATTTCAGAATAAGAGCGTTTTGCCCGTCTGATTTTGCTGACTTGTTCAGTTGTTCTGATTTTTGAGCCTCTACTACGATTAAGTAGTTAAATTGTTTTTTTTTTGTCGGTCTACGATCGGGAATCTGCAGAGGCTGTTTTATTTTGAAAATCGACCGGATTCTCTGCCGCTCTGTGTCTGACTTCCTGCCTGATTCATCAAAAGTCGACTGGCAGTGAAAATTCATCTTTAGCAAAACTTCAATAAAATAAATCTAATTGAATCTTAATCACAATATTGGCCGAAAAATCGCAATTAGACTTTTTTCCCTACTCAGGAGGGATGAGCCTTCCTGCAGATCGCTGATAAAAGGGGGCGGAGCTCCAGCGCACAAGCGCTGCTGTGCATGTGTGTGCACGTTTTACCCACCAAACATCTTCTTTCTTGCTTCAAAACGAACGTCAGCGTCTCACTGGCTGAAATTTCCTTCTGAAGCTTCTGTCTGAATTTGCCTCGTTATGTTGCCGCAGTCAGGACGACTTAATATTAACGAGCTTCACTGAACATTCGAGGCGTTCGGACACGGAGCGCTCACGAGCCACGTGCCGATTCATGACGGGACGTTGACGCAGGATGAAGTTAGTCTTCCTGACGCACAGATCTATAAGCGACCCCTGGCTCAGAGACTTCCTGTTTACCTGTAACTCTGGAACAGAGAGCACCGACTCCTCCGACGCTGATGACATCACTTCCTCCTCGTCTTCATCCTGTGTGAGGTCATCAAAGTCCTCCTCCTCCTCCTCTTCACCGTGCCGGTCCTGATCTTCATCCTTATCCTTCTCCCCATCATCCTCCCTCTCTCCTCCCCATTCTCCTCCCTCTGTCCCTCGTCCTCATCTTCCCCCTCTCCTCCCTGCTCCTCCTGCTCCCCTTCTCCCCCCCCCTCTGCTTCCTCCCCACCTCCTCCGCCTCCTGTTCCCCCTCCCTCAACCCCCTCCTCCTCCTCTCCACCAGAGTTATCTCCTCCATTCAAACTGACCACACCCGGAGCAGTCCAGTTCTCCTCCTGCTCCTCCTTCGGCTCCTCCTGCTGCTCCTCTCCTGCACAGGACGACAGCGGGCTCAGTGTTGATGTTGAAGCTGATCGTTCCTCCTCCACCTGTCTCTCCTCCTCTGGTGGAAGGCATGGCTCTGCAGACGTCTGCTCCAACTCCTGCTCTTCTTTGATTGGTCTATGGAGCTGTTGCCCCAGAGCATGCTGGGAGGAGAGCGTAGCGGGGCTGTGGGCGGCGGCCACATCTCTGGAGGAGGAAGCACCCCTGCTTTATGGGGGCAACTGAGCAAGACGTCACGGGATGCGTTGTGTCAGGTTTGCTGAGGGGGGGGAGGGGGAGGAGGAGGGGGACGCTGTCTTGTTGCCTAGAAACGCTCTGCTGCGTCCTCTGACCAATAGGAAAGAAGGACTGGATGACGGGGTGGGTGGGGACAGCAGCCAATGGGACAGCCCCGCAGGCGGCAGGCTGAGCCAGGGCTCCTGAAACAGCAGGAGTACCTGAGGGGGGGAGGGACAGGAAGCTGATTGGCTGCGTGTCGACCTGTCTGCCCACCTGTGTGTCTGCCAGGGCTTTGGCGAGTGGCAGCAGAGATGCATTGTGGGCCAAGGTGAAGAAGCGTCTGTGTGGGGGACGAGGGGGACGGGACTTGTTGACAAAGTAGGGGTGAAGCCTAAGGTTGCATCCTGGGGGGAGGGAGGGTGGGTAACAGGTGGTGCCCTGCTGGGTCTTCTGGATGATCAGCTGACTGTTCTGCAGGTGAGAACCATCAGAGAACCAGAGTCACAACCAACAACTTGAGGGTTACTATGCTATGCTAGTACTCTAAACGTCATGTTAGCAACCTGTTAGTTAGCGACTAGTGACAGACGCCATGTTAGCGACAGGTTCGTTAGCGACTAGCTACGGACGTCGCGTTAGTGACAGGTTAGTTAGCGACTAGCGACGGACGTCATGTTAGCGACAGGTTAGTTAGTTAGCGACTAGCAACAGATGTCATGTTAGCGACAGGTTAGTTAGCGACTAGCGACAGACGTCATGTTAGCGACAGGTTAGTTAGCGACTAGCGACAGACGTCATGTTAGCGACATGTTAGTTATCAACTAGCGACTGACGTCGTGTTAGCGACAGTTTAGTCAGCGACTAGAGACGGACGTCATGTTAGCGACAGGTTAGTTAGCGACTAGCGACAGACGTCATGTTAGCGACATGTTAGTTATCAACTAGCGACTGACGTCGTGTTAGCGACAGTTTAGTCAGCGACTAGAGACGGACGTCATGTTAGCGACAGGTTAGTTAGCGACTAGCGAAGAATGTCATGTTAGCGACAGGTTAGTTAGCGACTAGCGACGAACGTCATGTTAGCGACAGGTTAGTTAGCGACGGACGTCATGTTAGCGACAGGTTAGTTAGCGACGGACGTCATGTTAGCGACAGGTTAGTTAGCGACGGACGTCATGTTAGCGACAGGTTAGCTGGCGACGGACGTCATGTTAGTGACAGGTTAGTTAGCGACGGACGTCATGTTAGCGACAGGTTAGTTAGCGACGGACGTCATGTTAGCGACGGTTAGCTGGCGACGGACGTCATGTTAGTGACAGGTTAGTTAGCGACTGACGTCATGTTAGCGACAGGTTAGTTAGCGACTAGCAACAGACGTCATGTTAGCGACATGTTAGTTATCAACTTGCGACTGACGTCGTGTTAGCGACAGTTTACTTATCCACTAGCGACGAACGTCATGTTAGCGACAGGTTAGTTATCCACTAGCGACGAACGTCAAGTTAGCGACAGGTTAGTTAGCGACGAACGTCAAGTTAGTGACAGGTTAGTTAGCGACAGACGTCATGTTAGTGACAGGTTAGTTAGCGACTGACTTCATGTTAGTTTGGGTGTAGTGACGGACGTAAGTGATTAGAAGCAGGCTTCACACTGATCTACATCTGAATGTGGATCTGGTTTAGTCTGTCAGACCTTGAGCCAGTTTGGCATTGTGGAGGTGTCTCTGTCCACTGGGGGGCGCTGGTCTCCTGGCTGAACCCTGCTGCAGGCGAGCGGCAGCGGGGGGACGATTCCCTGCGTCACGAACATCTGAACACATGACGAGAAGATGGGAGAGGTTTCTGAAAGGAGACTGTTACAATGTCATGACAGTGTGTAATGATGTCACAATGATGTCACCTTGATGACGTTGTTGTGTGGCGCTCTCGTGGCGCTCATTTCTCTGATGTGTTTCCTGAAGTTCCATCGAGTCTTACAGAGCAGGTAGGTGCTGATCAGCTGATCCGACTGGACCGTCCCCTGAAAGTGCTTCAAACCCAGAACAATCAACCTGCACAGAGGCATCATGGGAAATGTTACAGACACACTGAAGCGTGGCGTTGTTACATGAACTTGATGCTGAACTCCATCACGGCATTCTGTCACTTTAAGGTGAACTTAGTGTGCACAGTGTGTTGTGTACACTATGTGTGTGTACAGTGAGTGTGTACACTATGTGAGTGTACAGTGAGTGTGTGTACACTATGTGTGTGTACAGTGAGTGTGTGTACACTATGTGAGTGTACAGTGAGTGTGTACACAGTGAGTGTGTGTACACTATGTGAGTGTACACCATGTGAGTGTACAGTTAGTGTGTGTACACCATGTGAGTGTACAATGAGTGTGTACAGTGAGTGTGTGTACAGTGAGTGTGTGTACACTATGTCAGTGTACAGTGAGTGTGTGTACACTATGTGTGTGTACAGTGAGTGTGTGTACACTATGTGAGTGTACAGTGAGTGTGTACACAGTGAGTGTGTGTACACTATGTGAGTGTACACCATGTGAGTGTACAGTTAGTGTGTGTACACCATGTGAGTGTACAGTGAGTTTGTACAGTGAGTGTGTACAGTGAGTGTGTGTACACTATGTCAGTGTACAGTGAGTGTGTGTGTACACTATGTGAGTGTACAGTGAGTGTGTGTACACTATGTGTGTGTACAGTGAGTGTGTGTACACTATGTGTGTGTACAGTGAGTGTGTGTACACTATGTGAGTGTACACCATGTGAGTGTACAGTTAGTGTGTGTACACCATGTGAGTGTACAGTGAGTGTGTACAGTGAGTGTGTGTACAGTGAGTGTGTGTACACTATGTGTGTGTACAGTGAGTGTGTGTACACTATGTGTGTGTACAGTGAGTGTGTGTACACTATGTGTGTGTACACTATGTGAGTGTACAGTGAGTGTGTGTACACTATGTGAGTGTACACCATGTGAGTGTACAGTTAGTGTGTGTACACCATGTGAGTGTACAGTGAGTGTGTGTACACTATGTGAGTGTACAGTGAGTGTGTGTACACTATGTGAGTGTACAGTGAGTGTGTGTACACTATGTGTGTGTACACTATGTGTGTGTACACTATGTGTGTGTACACTATGTGTGTGTACAGTGAGTGTGTGTGTGTACAGTGAGTGTGTGTGTGTACAGTGAGTGTGTGTGTGTACACTATGTGTGTGTACAGTGAGTGTGTGTGTACACTATGTGTGTGTACAGTGAGTGTGTGTGTACACTATGTGTGTGTACAGTTTGTGTGTTGTGTACCCGTCCTCTCCTGCAGTGTAAACTCTCCGATGGTGTCGGGTGTGTAGCGCGGGGTCCAGGCTGCAGACAGGAAGTAGTTCTGGGTAAAGGAAGATGGGTCGGGTGGCGAACAGCCAGGCGGCGTCGGCAGGCATCAGAGGGAAGGCGTGGCCTAAACAGAAGCAGAACCACAACAAGCTGACAGAACGTCTGCTGGACGGACAGACGTGATGTTTAAGCTGCTGGCAGAGAGACCTTACTGTTGGTGGCAGGAGTCATCCTGGGGAGCCAGCGTCTGGAGGCCCCAGAGGCAGCAGGAGCAGGAGGAGGCTCCGCCCTCTGCTCCACCTCCTGCAGGAGATCCAGCGCCCCCCGCAGGTTGCACACTCTAAAAGAGCTGGGCAGAAAAACCTCTTCCCGACGTCTGGCGAACTTCTGCAGCTCCTCCTGGAGGGAGAAAAGGGTTTGTGTTGTGGTTTCCAGGCCAAGCTGGACCTGTACCACGAAGCAGGATCTAAACTCATCCAGAAAACTTTGGGGTTAACCCTGGGTTTCACTTCTTACCCGGGTACATCGCCATGGTAACTGATGCTGAACGGCTAACCTTCTACATTGTTAGGTGAGTGTACAGTGAGGTACAGTGAGTTAGGTTCTGTTCCAGATCAGAGATCAACTCCATGAAAACGCCGCGTACAGACCAATCAGCTCTCTGGAAAATGACCTCACCATCTGTAGGAGATCCCTCAGTTTAACAGGCTGCTTCATGTTGCTGCGGTGATACGGAGAAACTCTTGTAGGCTAAAGCGACATCATCATCCTACAGCAGGCTGATCAGAACCCTCAGGTTACTGTATCCTGCAGGTTTTACAGTAAACCTACTAACTGCTTTGAAATGTGTTTAATGTTTTTATCTGCTCCCAGTCTTTTTCAGCTGCCACAGCGTTAAAATGAACGGGTTTCCTATTTCTGACGTGAGGCTGAATATTATGAGCATGAGGGACATTTTAAAGTGAACGTTGGCTTATATTTTAGGTTAGTAGCTTCTTCTTATATCAGAGCCTGGTCCCGTTCTGCGGTGTGAGCAGGTAACGAGGAGTCTTCAGCAGCCTGAATGTTCAGATTCAGTCTTTCAGCCACTATCTAAACACATTTTATAGCATGAATGGATTTTTGGTTTCGTTGCTTTTAAGTTAATTTAGAACAATGTTTGGAACATTTTGAGTGCGTTAAATAAATGAATCTCAGTTTTTTAAAGTGAGGTGGAACGACCTCTTTTTCAGTACCCGAGTCCTTTAATGTGGAAACGCCGACACACGGCCGAGCTCATACAGCTCAGAGAACACATCAGATCAACACATTATTACAGACTACATCTGTTCATTTAGACATCCACACCGTCTGCGATGTTATCCCTCATCCGAGACACTTCTTCAGTTCAGAACCGAAGTAGTCTCTTGGATAAGGGACGAAACGTCTCCTAGTTTTTCCAGTCCAGTTGCCCTTCACCTCAAGCTTCGTTGGATAACTGTGACCTGGATGACTGAGAACCTCCGCAGACACCTGCCCGTGTCAGCTGCAGCTGTTAGACCAGGTCGTATTTCTGTAATGTTACAGTTTGCTCTGCGTCTGTAAAATATGATGCTCTGATGCCAGTGGACTTGTTTATGTCTGTGATTGGTCATCCGCTGCTAACTCCGCCTCTTTTATGTGAACGCGCTCACGGCTGGATAGGGAAGCCCTGGGTTGACTAAGGCTGCGTTCAGACTGCAGGCCTTCATACTCAATTCCCATTTTTCCCAGATCAGATTTTGTTTGACAGTTCACATTACTGTTTAAATGTGGCCCGTATCAGACTCCAGTCTGAACTGTCCGCGGCCTGAAAGTGACCCGCAGAAGACGAACACGACGTCACAGGCTGCAGAAGTAAACAGAGCAGCAGAGGTTTTTTATTGTCCTCTCACGGGTCACATTTCTCCCGAATTATGACAAGTGTTCACAACTTTCTGGCGCTGGACAACGCAACTTCCTCACAACTCACTCCCCCCACTGCGTCCGCTCAGACAAATCCTGTGGATTTCAGAAAGGGAATCTGTGAGCAGATGACGGTAGAGGAGAACAGACTGTACGAAGGTTAAACTACGACAGGAGAAGATGTTGGTTAGCTGAGTCGGTGTTAAAGGGAACGTGTTCTGTGCAGACAGAGTTTTTTCTCCGCCTTTCTAGTCTTTTTTCCCACTCAAAGCGCTTTTACACTACATCTGCATTCACCATTCACACACTGAGCCTAAGTGCTCAGAAACTAACATTCACACAGTCATACGCTGGCGGAACAGCCGCCAGGGGTTCAGTATCTTGCCCAAGGACACTTTGGCATGCAGCCTGGAGGAATTGAACCGCCAACCTTCTGATTAACGAGCAACCCGCTCTACTTCCCGAGCCACAGCCGCCCTGATGGTGACAGGAAATCATGAAAGTAAAGACACGTTAACGGCTAAATCTATAATGGTGGTCAGACCAGAATTTTGGTCAGACCAAAAGCGAAGCGAGCGTTCGGGGCGGTTAGTTTACATACAAAGTCAATGCAAAGATGCGTAGAGCCGCGATTTCCTGTCGGGCGGCGCAAAGCGACACGAAGAGGCCGGTGCCGGCGACGTGAAGGAATTTGCGCGAGTTGAATATTTTCAAGCAAAAAATTCGCATGATGCTGAGTCGCGATAGCCTATCAACGTTGAGATTGTCCGTACGTCACCGACGGCTTCAGAGCGTTGTGTGGAGAGGACCGGGCAGAGCGGGGGACTGAAAATCTGCAGGCCGGCTGAGAGCTGCTGAACTTGGGCTAGAGGAGCAGGGAGCAGCGCTGCAGCTTTCGGACAAATAAACACCCGTGTTAGGACTGGACTTTGCTCGCCACTACGCCGTTTGCTTGAGGGAGGAACTCGGAGTAAACTGCTTTTATTAAATTAGCTTTTTACTTTAGTTTTTAGGATTACAACATTGATTTATCTTCACTGGAGCTTCTCAGCAGCTAGATTCTGTGCACATCCGGTTCCAGTGTTGTTAGCGTTGTTTGGCACTACTTCATATTTTTATGAAAAACGGACAAAACTGGACATTACTTGGAGAAAAGAAAGCGAGGAGGTTGAACTACCTGGTGAGTTCAGAAAACTAACTTTATTCCAGCTGTCGTTGGTCTTTACTGTGAACAGGTTAGCATAGCATAGCCCTGATCGAACCAAACTCCATTCAGAAAACAAACATTTTAGAAGCTGCTGTCTTGCTGACAGACCTGACAAAGCATGAATTCATATGTTTAACAAATAGTTATTTCGGCATCAGTTTGATCCGTTTATTGCTACTTAATCACAGCAACATGTTTACTTTGGGTTCATACAGCTGGAGTAACGGCGAGTTGTGTTTATTCACGTTATCGCGTTAAAATCGCCTTCTCGCGTTGTGTGTGAACACTTGTACTTGTACGAATGTACTCACGCGAGGAAAGCATCACGAGGAGAAAAGTCGCGTTTGGTCTGAATGTGGTCTAATATCGTGGCGGCCGACAGAGCCGGGAGCCATGTTGGCATCGCATGGAGTGAATTTGTAGTCTAAATATTTTCACAGTGTTCTTACTGTAGTTCACATCTCTATTCTGTATTTTATGGGCTCTTCGTTTAAGTGTAATATGATGAAGATGTAAAGGTACCACTGCACGTAAGATCCACTGTTCTTTTCTCGGTTATTAACCCCACCCTGGCTCTGTATTTTTGGACATGTAAATAGTCGATCTAAATATGTGAAAACACTCAGAATTCAGTTCCAGCCTACAGACGGGGCTCCATCTCAGAAACTGTCCCGGTGATTAATTAAGATTCCTCTCTGAACTCCCAGAGACTGCAGGGCTCACATTCATTTCAGCTGCAGAGGAACAAGTATTAATACTTCTCCTTAGTAACGCTGAGTACAGATGCAGCGTAAATCACCATGGCAACAGACCTCGGGTTACACTGCCCACCTTGGTAGTACAGGTTAATCAGGGAGTTACACCTGAAGTTACCTGGATAAGACACGTACTCACTTCGTAGTACAGGCACCAAGTAGGTATGTGGTGTTGTTACTGACTGACCAGGTAGCGTTTGTGTTGTTGTTACTGACTGACCAGGTAGCGTTTGTGGTGTTGTTTACTGACTGACCAGGTAGCGTTTGTGGTGTTGTTTACTGACTGACCAGGTAGCGTTTGTGGTGTTGTTTACTGACTGACAGGTAGCGTTTGTGGTGTTGTTTACTGACTGACCAGGTAGCGTTTGTGGTGTTGTTTACTGACTGACCAGGTAGCGTTGTGTTGTTGTTTACTAACTAACCAGGTAGCGTTTGTGTTGTTGTTTACTAACTAACCAGGTAGCGTTTGTGGTGTTGTTACTGACTGACCAGGTAGCGTTTGTGGTGTTGTTTACTAACTGACCAGGTAGCGTTTGTGGTGTTGTTTACTGACTGACCAGGTAGCGTTTGTGGTGTTGTTTACTGACTGACCAGGTAGCGTTTGTGGTGTTGTTTACTGACTGACCAGGTAGCGTTTGTGGTGTTGTTACCTGACTGACCAGGTAGCGTTGTGGTGTTGTTACCTGACTGACCAGGTAGCGTTTGTGGTGTTGTTTACTGACTGACCAGGTAGCGTTTGTGGTGTTGTTTACTGACTGACCAGGTAGCGTTTGTGGTGTTGTTACCTGACTGACCAGGTAGCGTTTGTGGTGTTGTTTACTGACTGACCAGGTAGCGTTTGTGGTGTTGTTTACTGACTGACCAGGTAGCGTTTGTGGTGTTGTTTACTGACTGACCAGGTAGCGTTTGTGTTGTTGTTTACTGACTGACCAGGTAGCGTTTGTGGTGTTGTTTACTGACTGACCAGGTAGCGTTTGTGGTGTTGTTTACTGACTGACCAGGTAGCGTTTGTGGTGTTGTTTACTGACTGACCAGGTAGCGTTTGTGTTGTTGTTTACTGACTGACCAGGTAGCGTTTGTGGTGTTGTTTACTGACTGACCAGGTAGCGTTTGTGGTGTTGTTTACTGACTGACCAGGTAGCGTTTGTGTTGTTGTTACCTGACTGACCAGGTAGCGTTTGTGGTGTTGTTTACTGACTGACCAGGTAGCGTTTGTGGTGTTGTTTACTGACTGACCAGGTAGCGTTTGTGGTGTTGTTTACTGACTGACCAGGTAGCGTTTGTGTTGTTGTTTACTGACTGACCAGGTAGCGTTTGTGGTGTTGTTTACTGACTGACCAGGTAGCGTTTGTGGTGTTGTTTACTGACTGACCAGGTAGCGTTTGTGTTGTTGTTTACTGACTGACCAGGTAGCGTTTGTGTTGTTGTTACTGACTGACCAGGTAGCGTTTGTGGTGTGTTTACTGACTGACCAGGTAGCGTTGTGTTGTTGTTTACTACTAACCAGGTAGCGTTTGTGTTGTTGTTTACTAACTAACCAGGTAGCGTTTGTGTGTTGTTACTGACTGACCAGGTAGCGTTTGTGGTGTTGTTTACTAACTGACCAGGTAGCGTTTGTGGTGTTGTTTACTGACTGACCAGGTAGCGTTTGTGGTGTTGTTTACTAACCAGGTAGCGTTTGTGGTGTTGTTTACTGACTGACCAGGTAGCGTTTGTGGTGTTGTTACCTGACTGACCAGGTAGCGTTTGTGGTGTTGTTACCTGACTGACCAGGTAGCGTTTGTGGTGTTGTTACCTGACTGACCAGGTAGCGTTTGTGTTGTTGTTTACTGACTGACCAGGTAGCGTTTGTGTTGTTGTTTACTGACTGACCAGGTAGCGTTTGTGGTGTTGTTTACTGACTGACCAGGTAGCGTTTGTGGTGTTGTTTACTAACTGACCAGGTAGCGTTTGTGGTGTTGTTTACTGACTGACCAGGTAGCGTTTGTGGTGTTGTTTACTAACTAACCAGGTAGCGTTGTGGTGTTGTTTACTGACTGACCAGGTAGCGTTTGTGGTGTTGTTACCTGACTGACCAGGTAGCGTTTGTGGTGTTGTTTACTGACTGACCAGGTAGCGTTTGTGGTGTTGTTACTGACTGACCAGGTAGCGTTTGTGTTGTTGTTTACTGACTGACCAGGTAGCGTTTGTGTTGTTGTTTACTGACTGACCAGGTAGCGTTTGTGGTGTTGTTTACTGACTGACCAGGTAGCGTTTGTGTTGTTGTTTACTGACTGACCAGGTAGCGTTTGTGTTGTTGTTTACTGACTGACCAGGTAGCGTTTGTGTTGTTGTTTACTGACTGACCAGGTAGCGTTTGTGTTGTCGTTTACTGACTGACCAGGTAGCGTTTGTGGTGTTGTTTACTGACTGACCAGGTAGCGTTTGTGGTGTTGTTACCTGACTGACCAGGTAGCGTTTGTGGTGTTGGTTACTGACTGACCAGGTAGCGTTTGTGTTGTTGTTTACTGACTGACCAGGTAGCGTTTGTGTTGTTGTTTACTGACTGACCAGGTAGCGTTTGTGGTGTTGTTTACTGACTAACCAGGTAGCGTTTGTGTTGTTGTTACTGACTGACCAGGTAGCGTTTGTGTTGTGTTACTGACTGACCAGGTAGCGTTTGTGTTGTGTTTACTGACTGACCAGGTAGCGTTTGTGGTGTTGTTTACTGACTGACCAGGTAGCGTTTGTGGTGTTGTTTACTGACTGACCAGGTAGCGTTTGTGTTGTCGTTTACTGACTGACCAGGTAGCGTTTGTGGTGTTGTTTACTGACTGACCAGGTAGCGTTTGTGGTGTTGTTTACTGACTGACCAGGTAGCGTTTGTGGTGTTGTTTACTGACTAACCAGGTAGAGTTGTGGTGTTGTTTACTGACTAACCAGGTAGCGTTGTGTTGTTGTTTACTGACTGACCAGGTAGCGTTTGTGTTGTTGTTACCTGACTGACCAGGTAGCGTTTGTGTTGTTGTTTACTGACTGACCAGGTAGCGTTTGTGGTGTTGTTTACTGACTGACCAGGTAGCGTTTGTGGTGTTGTTTACTGACTGACCAGGTAGCGTTTGTGTTGTTGTTTACTGACTGACCAGGTAGCGTTTGTGTTGTCGTTTACTGACTGACCAGGTAGCGTTTGTGTTGTGTTTACTGACTGACCAGGTAGCGTTTGTGTTGTCGGTTACTGACTGACCAGGTAGCGTTTGTGGTGTTGTTTACTGACTGACCAGGTAGCGTTTGTGGTGTTGTTTACTGACTAACCAGGTAGTTGTGGTGTTGTTTACTGACTAACCAGGTAGCGTTTGTGTTGTTGTTACCTGACTGACCAGGTAGCGTTTGTGTTGTGGTTACCTGACTGACCAGGTAGCGTTTGTGTTGTTGTTTACTGACTAACCAGGTAGAGTTGTGGTGTTGTTTACTGACTAACCAGGTAGCGTTTGTGTTGTTGTTACCTGACTGACCAGGTAGCGTTTGTGTTGTTGTTACCTGACTGACCAGGTAGCGTTTGTGTTGTTGTTTACTGACTGACCAGGTAGCGTTTGTGGTGTTGTTTACTGACTAACCAGGTAGCGTTTGTGTTGTTGTTTACTAACTAACCAGGTAGCGTTTGTGGTGTTGTTTACTGACTGACCAGGTAGCGTTTGTGGTGTTGTTTACTGACTGACCAGGTAGCGTTTGTGGTGTTGTTTACTAACTAACCAGGTAGCGTTTGTGGTGTTGTTTACTGACTGACCAGGTAGCGTTTGTGGTGTTGTTTACTAACCCAGGTAGCGTTTGTGTTGTTGTTACTGACTGACCAGGTAGCGTTTGTGGTGTTGTTTACTAACTAACCAGGTAGCGTTTGTGGTGTTGTTTACTGACTGACCAGGTAGCGTTTGTGGTGTTGTTTACTGACTAACCAGGTAGCGTTTGTGTTGTTGTTTACTAACTAACCAGGTAGCGTTTGTGTGTTGTTTACTGACTGACCAGGTAGCGTTTGTGGTGTTGTTTACTGACTGACCAGGTAGCGTTTGTGGTGTTGTTTACTGACTGACCAGGTAGCGTTTGTGTTGTTGTTTACTAACTAACCAGGTAGCGTTTGTGGTGTTGTTTACTGACTGACCAGGTAGCGTTTGTGGTGTTGTTTACTGACTGACCAGGTAGCGTTTGTGTTGTTGTTTACTGACTGACCAGGTAGCGTTTGTGGTGTTGTTTACTGACTAACCAGGTAGCGTTTGTGTTGTTGTTTACTAACTAACCAGGTAGCGTTTGTGGTGTTGTTTACTGACTGACCAGGTAGCGTTTGTGTTGTTGTTTACTGACTAACCAGGTAGCGTTTGTGGTGTTGTTTACTGACTGACCAGGTAGCGTTTGTGTTGTTGTTTACTAACTAACCAGGTAGCGTTTGTGGTGTTGTTTACTGACTGACCAGGTAGCGTTTGTGGTGTTGTTTACTGACTGACCAGGTAGCGTTTGTGTTGTTGTTTACTGACTGACCAGGTAGCGTTTGTGGTGTTGTTTACTGACTAACCAGGTAGCGTTTGTGTTGTTTACTAACTAACCAGGTAGCGTTTGTGGTGTTGTTTACTGACTGACCAGGTAGCGTTTGTGGTGTTGTTTACTGACTGACCAGGTAGCGTTTGTGTTGTTGTTTACTGACTGACCAGGTAGCGTTTGTGGTGTTGTTTACTGACTAACCAGGTAGCGTTTGTGTTGTTGTTTACTAACTAACCAGGTAGCGTTTGTGGTGTTGTTTACTGACTGACCAGGTAGCGTTTGTGTTGTTGTTTACTGACTAACCAGGTAGCGTTTGTGGTGTTGTTTACTGACTGACCAGGTAGCGTTTGTGTTGTTGTTTACTAACTAACCAGGTAGCGTTTGTGGTGTTGTTTACTGACTGACCAGGTAGCGTTTGTGGTGTTGTTTACTGACTGACCAGGTAGCGTTTGTGTTGTTGTTTACTGACTGACCAGGTAGCGTTTGTGGTGTTGTTTACTGACTAACCAGGTAGCGTTTGTGTTGTTGTTTACTAACTAACCAGGTAGCGTTTGTGGTGTTGTTTACTGACTGACCAGGTAGCGTTTGTGTTGTTGTTTACTGACTAACCAGGTAGCGTTTGTGGTGTTGTTTACTGACTAACCAGGTAGCGTTTGTGGTGTTGTTTACTGACTGACCAGGTAGCGTTTGTGGTGTTGTTTACTGACTGACCAGGTAGAGTTGTGGTGTTGTTTACTAACTAACCAGGTAGAGTTGTGGTGTTGTTTACTGACTGACCAGGTAGTGTTTGGTGATGCCGGCTTCGTGGTTCAGGGCGTCCACACGGCGACTCAGCAGGTGAACCTGCGTCAGGAGCTGCACATGCTGAAACAGAGACAGACACATTTCAGACTCTACCTGGAAAAGCTGCAATTTCTGTTGCAGGTGAAGAGAACACTATCTGAAACCCCTGGTCCAGGTTCTGGGGAGGACACGTACCTGCTGTATCTGCTGCTGCAGCTGCAGTTTCTGGGTGTAGTCCAGGTGCAGGGCGGGGCGGACCCGGCTCGGCAGCACTAAGAAGGAGGTGATGGTCTCGGGTTGTGGGTTCGGTGTGCCCTTCAGGTTTGTGATGTCACGGCGATGATTGGTTGTGTCCTGCAGCGCTCTCCTCTGCTGCAGAGCTTCGTACTGTTTCCTCACCGTCTGCCGGCGCTCTGTTAGCATGCTGGCTAACGGTGCCTCAAAACTACAGACAGCAGAACACAGAGAGACCTGAAGACGTGAGGTTCTACCGGGTTCCCTCCCCACCAATAACAGACACTCAGCTGTTGTCTAGCACAAGCTCCACCTCCCTATGGAGGTACATGAGGGGTCACCTGAGGACATGTTTCAAAGATGAGGCCGCTGTCAATAAAGAGGTCACCTGGCAGGGGGCGGAGCCCAACATGGGCCACAGGATGTGTGCTCTCAACTGGGTTCTTCTTCATGTGTTCTGTGTGAAGAAGCAGCAGCAGAGGCCATTTCTCTTCCTCCTGACCCAAACAGCCACAGCACTTCTCTGCTGCACCGACCCGACAGGAGGAGCTGTGTGTGTGTTGGTTTACACCTGCGTGTGTGTGTGTGTGTTGGTTCACACCTGCGTGTGTGTGTGTGTTGGTTTACACCTGCGTGTGTGTGTGTGTTGGTTTACACCTGCGTGGTGTGTGTGTGGTTTACACCTGCGTGTGTGTGTGTGTTGGTTTACACCTGCGTGTGTGTGTGTGTTGGTTTACACCTGCGTGTGTGTGTGTGTTGGTTTACACCTGCGTGTGTGTGTGTGTGTTGGTTTACACCTGCGTGTGTGTGTGTGTGTTGGTTTACACCTGCGTGTGTGTGTGTTGGTTTACACCTGCATGTGTGTGTGTGTGTTGGTTTACACCTGCGTGTGTTCTTGTTTACACCTGCGTGTGTGTTGGTTTACACCTGCGTGTGTGTTGGTTTACACCTGCGTGTGTGTTGGTTTACACCTGCGTGTGTGTGTGTGTGTTGGTTTACACCTGCGTGTGTGTGTTGGTTTACACCTGCGTGTGTGTGTGTGTTGGTTTACACCTGCGTGTGTGTGTGTGTGGTTTACACCTGCGTGTGTGTGTGTGTTGGTTTACACCTGCGTGTGTGTTGGTTTACACCTGCGTGTGTGTGTGTGGTTTACACCTGCGTGTGTGTGTGTGTGGGTTTACACCTGCGTGTGTGTGTTGGTTTACACCTGCGTGTGTGTGTGTGTGGTTTACACCTGCGTGGTGTGTTGGTTTACACTGCATGTGTTTGGTTTACACCTGCGTGTGTGTGTGTGTTGGTTTACACCTGCGTGTGTGTGTAGTTTACACCTGCGTGTGTGTGTTAGTTTACACCTGCGTGTGTGTTGGTTTACACCTGCGTGTGTGTGTGTGTTGGTTTACACCTGCGTGTGTGTGTTGGTTTACACCTGCGTGTGTGTGTTGGTTTACACCTGCGTGTGTGTGTTAGTTTACACCTGCGTGTGTGTTGGTTTACACCTGCGTGTGTGTGTGGTTTACACCTGCATGTGTTTGGTTTACACCTGCGTGTGTGTGTGTTGGTTTACACCTGCGTGTGTGTGTTAGTTTACACCTGCGTGTGTGTTGGTTTACACCTGCGTGTGTGTGTGTGTTGGTTTACACCTGCGTGTGTGTGTTAGTTTACACCTGCGTGTGTGTTGGTTTACACCTGCGTGTGTGTGTGTTGGTTTACACCTGCGTGTGTGTTGGTTTACACCTGCGTGTGTGTTGGTTTACACCTGCGTGTGTGTGTGTGTTGGTTTACACCTGCGTGTGTGTGTGTGTTGGTTTACACCTGCATTTGTTTATGTGTGAGTGTATAATTGTGCAGGGCTGTTACCTTAAAGCCTGGGGAACATTGAATTTGGTTCCAGTTTGTGACGGGGTCTCCTCCTGCTGCAGCTGCTGCTCCTCCTCAGCCGCCATCTCTTCTTCCTGGAGCTGTACAGTGAAGAGACAGAGTCCAGACTGGTCACAGAGTCCAGACTGGTCACAGAGTCCAGACTCGTCACAGAGTCCAGACTCGTCACAGAGTCCTGGTCAACTAAAATCTGAACTTGGGGTCTACTCATGGAGGCTAAGTTCCTCAAATGTTGCTGAAGTTGCTGAAAAAGTTACCCAGTTCTCCTCAGACAGGCCTGATTTCTAATCCGGACTGTTTGTATGACAGGTAAACACAAAAAGCCAGACAACAATAAGAACTGTAGGAAACAATGAGGACTGATCAACATGTGTCTAAGGCTGCGTTCAGACTGCAGGCCAAAGTGACCCAAATAAAAAGATTTTTCCCGTATGTGACTCAGATCTGATCTTTTTAAATGCGACCTCAGCCTGGACACTCAGGTCGCATTTGATGCAACTTTGACGTCACTGCAGAGCAGCAGTTCTGCAGTAGACGGAGCCGCGATGAACGAAAAAGCTCCACAAAAGCCTTTATTAAACACATGGCTCTCTTCCTCCTCTACCTCGCCATCATCAGATTCCCTTTCTTACATCTGAAATCCATCGGACTGGAGCTCACATGTGATTTACATGCATGCCGTTTGTCTGAGCCGAGAGAGAGGGAGGGAGTTGTGGGGCAGTTGCGTTGTACCGCGCCAGAAACCGTAAAGAAAAGTACAGAAAGTGAGTATTGTGACTCCACCACCACCATCATCGTCGTCGTCATCATTACAATAAAAAACGGGAGTCTCCCGCAAGCTAACCAGAGCTATCCTCTGCTGCTCTGTGTTTACTTCTGCAGCCTGCAACAGCTGCTGCTGCGTGTGATGTCCTGTTAGTCTTCTGCTGCATGCAGGTCACTTTCAGGCCACGGACAGTTCACACTGTAGTCTGATGTGGGCCACATTTAAACTATAATGTGAACTGTCAAACAAAAAAATCTGATCTGGGGAACAAATCTGAAGTGAGCGTTAAGGCCTGCAGTCTGAACGCAGCCTAAACGTCCTGCGTGAACACTAGAATCATCAGCAGAGCTCTACTCACTGTGTCAAAGAGCTCCTCCAGCAGCTCATTCACTTCCCTCTCTGAAAAAGAAGAAGACGTGTTCACACTGCACAAGGAGCAGACCAGGGAGAGCTTCGGGACCCAGACCACAACACTTACTGGTGATCTGGACGGCCCGGTCCGTCCTGTAGTCCTCCAGGTCTGGTTCATCCGGGTCATCCAGGAAGTTGTACTCTGGGTCGTCATCGTCATCGGCTTCCTCTGAGAAAACAAAGCCGCTCAGTCAGCTGATGTAAACATCAGTCCGGTGTGAATCTGATCAGATGACTGTTACATTTTTTACATTCATTCATTTAGCTGACGCTTTTATCCAAAGCTAGTTACAATTGCTATTTTATGTCAGAGGTCACACGCCTCACCACCCCTGAATCAATCCTGACATTTGAAACTGAAAGAGTCCTGGAGCCTGAGCTGGCGTGACAGGACCGGCTCTGTGCGAGCTGCTGACGGATACTAACGTTTCACCTGGTTCACAACATGCAGATGAAACGAAGCAGACCTTTATTTTTTTATTTTGACCTCTGACCTTCATTATCGGGGGTCATAAGACTCTGCAGCCACTTCGTCCAATGACGGTCCTCCTCCCGCTGGGACTCGTACATGTCAGGTGTGATGTCAGGGGCCAGAAGCTCCGCCTCCAGCTGACCCAGAGGAACGTTAACCAGACGAAGTTTGGAGCGCGTGCGGTAGGCCAAACAGCCTTCATCAGCAACTCCACCACCACCATCATCGTCGTCATCATCATTATCAGCTTTTCCGTCCAGAGGCTGAGGAGAGACACACGAAGGTTAAGGTTACTGGCGGGGGGGGGGGGGGCTGCTCTACTCTTTCTCCGTGTTGATGGTCATTGTTAGCCTCGACCTGGTCAGAAAGTATCACCTGAAGTGCTGGTTTGACTGCAGACGTTTTGATTCCACTCGATACCGGCGGTTATGGTACCTTAAAGGTGGCGAGCTGGCCCCCAACTGGTCAATCGGTGCATCCCTAGTTTTAGGAGTGGCCACTCTACTGAAACGGCTCTGTTGTCTTAGGTCAGCTGACGCTGCAGCTCGGGTCTTATCCTGCTCGACCCATCAGCCAATCACAGGATCCTGCTATCTGCACTCTCAGCAACGGGCATCTCAGGCAAAGCACTCATGTGGTTCGAATCCTACCTCTCTGGGCGATCCTACACTGTGTTGTGGAAAGGACAATTGTCCTCGTCCCACTGCCTCTCCACAGGGGCCCCAAGGCTCAGTGATAGAGCCCCTTCACTTCTCAGTTTACACCACCTCACTGGGGCCAATCAGTCGCTTGTACGGCTTCTCTCAACGCTGCTACGCAGACGATGCGCAGCTCTACCTATCCTTCCCGCCAGACGACCGACTGTCTCTCGGACATATCTGCATGGACGAAGTCTCGCCACCTTCAACTAAACCTCTCTGAGACTGAACTCTTGGTCATTCCAGGCAAGCAATTTATCCACCATAACATCACACTACAACCTGGCTCCTCAGTCGTCACTCCAACCAGCGTGGTGAGAAACTTCATGACTGACCAGCTGTCCTTCTCATCTTGCTGCTGTCTCTCCGTCGTGACGCTTTGCTCTATTCAACATCAGAAAAATCAGCCCCTCCCTCACTCAGCACGCCACCCAGCTCCTGGTACAGGCCAGGCCACTCTTCCCTCCAGCTCTTCAGCTTGTGAAACCCCTACAGATGGTTCAGCAGTCTGGTTTCTGATCAGCCTAAAAGGACTCATGTTCCTCCATTACTCAGTGACCTTCACTGGCTCCTCGGGGCCTCCAGAATCAAATCCAAGTCCCTGATGCTGCATACAGAGCTACTACTGGGTCTGCAACATCTACCTAAACTCCATAATTCAAGCCTATGTTCCTTCTGGGCCACGGTGCTCCTCGAACGAACGCCGCCTGGCTCTGCCATCCCTTCACACAAAGCGACCTCAGTCCCTGTTCTCATCTGTGACACCACGATGGTGGAACGCGCCACCACACGCCATCAGAGCAGGAGCGTCCCTCTCTGACTTCAAGAAGCCCTCTGATAACACAAACCTATGACATGCACTTCCTGTCCTCTTCTTCACCTGTCCCCTCACAGTTCTCTGGTAGTGTTGGCTCCTTTTCATTAACTCGTACTTCCCCAGGGTAAATGGTGGCGGAGGTAAGGTTTGGTTATTTTTAAGTGCTGTGCAATTACTGTCACGGGAAAATTACATCAGTTAGAGGCTCTGAGTTTTGATTACAGTTAACTGTCCAGCCCTGAATCTTACTGCTATTTATTGTGTCTTTGGTCTGGGGGGTTATAAGTGTAGGCGGGTCTGGGGGGGTTACCCGGTTGGGTCTAGGTAGGTTTCCCGGTTATAGGTGTAGCTGGGTCTGCGGGGTTACCCGGTTGGGTCTAGGGGGTTACCCAGTTATAGGTGTAGCTGGGTCTGGGGGGGTTACCCAGTTATAGGTGTAGCTGGGTCTGGGGGGGTTACCCGGTTATAAGTGTAGCTGGGTCTGTGGGGTTACCCGGTTATAAGTGTATGCGGGTCTGGGGGGGTTACCCGGTTGGGTCTGGGGGGGTTACCCGGTTGGGTCTAGGCGGTTACCCGGTTATAGGTGTAGCTGGGTCTGTGGGGGTTACCCGGTTATAAGTGTAGCTGGGTCTGGGGGGGTTACCCGGTTTTAAGTGTATGCGGGTCTGGGGGGGTTACCCGGTTTTAAGTGTATGCGGGTCTGGGGGGGTTACCCGGTTATAAGTGTAGCTGCGTCTGGGGGGTTTCTCGGTTATAGGTGTAGCTGGGTCTGTGGGGTTACCCGGTTATAGGTGTAGCTGGGTCTGTGGGGTTACCCGGTTATAAGTGTAGCTGGGTCTGTGGGGTTACCCGGTTATAAGTGTAGCTGGGTCTGTGGGGTTACCCGGTTATAGGTGTAGCTGGGTCTGTGGGGTTACCCGGTTATAGGTGTAGCTGGGTCTGTGGGGGTTTCTCGGTTATAAGTGTAGCTGGGTCTGTGGGGTTACCCGGTTATAAGTGTAGCTGGGTCTGTGGGGGTTACCCGGTTATAAGTGTATGCGGGTCTGGGGGGGTTACCCGGTTATAGGTGTAGCTGTGTCTGGGGGGTTTCTCGGTTATAGGTGTAGCTGCGTCTGTGGGGTTACCTGGTTATAGGTGTAGCTGCAGTCCAGCTCCTCTTCCACAGCGTTTAGTCTTTCCAGGAAGGAAGACTCAGGAGCAGAGAGGAGGTGTTGCGGAGCGAGGCTGGAGGTCGTCACCTGTTCCCGTAGGTGTCCCGGACATCTCTAAACAACAGGGCAGAGGTCAGGCTACCTGCAGCGCTTTGAGGTCAGTGTACCTTTAGGGGTCAGAGGCCAGGGTACCTGTAGGGGTTCATCGGTCTTCTGGTCTGCCAGAGGTTGAGAGTTCTGATGCATTCTGGGAGGTGAAGCCAAGCTCTCTGCATCGCTGAGGAAAGTCTGCACACACACACGGTTTCAGTCACAAAAGGAAAGTTCTGGTGTTCAAGCCTGGCTCTTAAACCTGACACCAGATCGGTTCTGGATCGGAACTTTTAACTCTTCACCTCAGCTGGATACACGTTACGCTCTGCAGAGAATCCAGAGAGAACCTAACCTCCAGACACTGAATAAGCTAACCGACATAGAGCGCCTGTAGTTCAGGCCTCAGCCGTTCACTCTGAACACAAAACTGTGACAGAAACTAATGAGACAGGTGGGAAGTTACAGCTGCTAGGAAAGGTCAAAGAATCACTCGCCTCCTCAGCAGTGTCCTCCTCCTCTTCCTCATCAGGACAATACTCTTCATCTGACGAGTCTTCATCCTCCTCAAGATCAATGTCAACAAACTGAGGAGGCTGCAGGAGAGACAGACAGGCAGTCAAACAGTCAGACAGAACGACAGACAGACTGAACGACAGACAGAACGAAAGAACGACAGACAAAGACAGACAGACCAACAGACAGACTGAACGACAGACAGAACGAAAGAACGACAGACAAAGACAGACAGACCAACAGATAGACTGAACGACAGACAGAACGAAAGAACGACAGACAAAGACAGACAGACCAACAGACAGACTGAACGACAGACAGAACAAAAGAATGACACACACACACACACACACACACAGACAGAACAACACACAGACAGACAGTCAGACGCTGGGTGTGTTAGTTTACCTTGACTGTGTTCAGTGCTGACAGACTCCAGTTCAGCGGCTGCAGACAGACAGACAGACAGACAGACAGACAGGTAAAAGGCAGTTCCATTAAACCGATATGTTTTCAGTGTCAGGAGGATTGAGGGAGGTTGAGTTCACCTGTCCCTGCTGGACGGCCTGTTTCAGTCTAGATCGAGTCATCTTTGGCTCCTGATGGAAAACAAAACACGATTCTTTAGCCTGACAGAGTTCATGTGTTTAAGAAGCTTCAGCTGTGATTTTGCACTTTTATACAGTACTAATTAAAGATAGAGAACAGAGAGGAGTCTGTCAAACAGCTGCTTATCATGTTTGTGTCACCTGATGAAGGAGGGTCCAGGGTTCTCTCTCTGTTAGCTCTGTGTTTGGTCTCTACCAGCTGCACAGGCAAACACCTGGCTCTGTAGCTGCTAAACGCTGCTCTCTGTTCACCAGCTGCTCTCTGACCGACTCTAACTTTGCGCCTGAGCAGCTCATGTACAGGAAACGTTAGAAAAAACAAAACGATGAGCTGACAGAGAGAAAAAGCCCCGAAACAGCTGGAGACACTTTTCTGTGAGTTCATCACTAACACAGACACTTGAACACAGAGACACCTGATTTACTGCTGTTGTATAAGACAGAAAAACATGGAGACTCACAAACATGGGCAGATCCTGAGTGTCTCTGATGGTAGCTTTCATCATGGCCACCACGTGCTCATGGGTAATCACCTCCTGACAAAATACAGACAGGTGTTACAGTTGTACAGACAGGACTCACACAAGCTGTATCATGTTCTGTGTGTGTTCACCGTAAAACAGAAGCTTTAAAGAGGTCATGTTCTGCTTTTTGGCTTTTAATGTTCCTTTATTGGGTTATAAATATTTTCTGTGCATGTAACCCTTACCCATGCAGCTGAGGGTCTGTGCTGCAAGACGTTCTACCCGCGTTAACTCTAACTGCGAGTTACCTGCAACACGTTCTACCCGTGTTACCCGCAACACGTTCTACCCGCGTTAACTCTAACTGTGCGTTACCTGCAAGACGTTCTACCCGCGTTAACTCTGTGCGTTACCCGCAAGACGTTCTACCCGCGTTAACTCTGTGCGTTACCCGCAAGACGTTCTACCCGCGTTAACTCTAACTGCGTGTTACCTGCAAGACGTTCTACCCGCGTTAACTCTAACTGCGTGTTACCTGCAACATGTTCTACCCGCGTTAACTCTAACTGCGTGTTACCTGCAACATGTTCTACCCGCGTTAACTCTAACTGCGTGTTACCTGCAACATGTTCTACCCGCGTTAACTCTAACTGCGTGTTACCTGCAACATGTTCTACCCGCGTTAACTCTAACTGTGCGTTACCTGCAAGACGTTCTACCCGCGTTAACTCTGTGCGTTACCTGCAAGACGTTCTACCCGCGTTAACTCTAACTGCGTGTTACCTGCAACATGTTCTACCCGCGTTAACTCTAACTGCGTGTTACCTGCAACATGTTCTACCCGCGTTAACTCTAACTGCGTGTTACCTGCAACATGTTCTACCCGCGTTAACTCTAACTGCGTGTTACCTGCAACATGTTCTACCCGCGTTAACTCTAACTGTGCGTTACCTGCAAGACGTTCTACCCGCGTTAACTCTGTGCGTTACCTGCAAGACGTTCTACCCGCGTTAACTCTAACTGCGTGTTACCTGCAACATGTTCTACCCGCGTTAACTCTAACTGTGCGTTACCTGCAAGACGTTCTACCCGCGTTAACTCTGTGCGTTACCTGCAAGACGTTCTACCCGCGTTAACTCTAACTGCGTGTTACCTGCAACATGTTCTACCCGCGTTAACTCTGCGTGTTACCTGCAAGACGTTCTAGCCGCGTTAACTCTAACTGCGTGTTACCTGCAAGACGTTCTAGCCGCGTTAACTCTAACTGTGCGTTACCTGCAAGACGTTCTAGCCGCGTTAACTCTAACTGCGTGTTACCTGCAAGACGTTCTAGCCGCGTTAACTCTAACTGTGCGTTACCTGCAAGACGTTCTACCCGCGTTAACTCTGTGCGTTACCTGCAAGACGTTCTAGCCGCGTTAACTCTAACTGCGTGTTACCTGCAACACGTTCTACCCGTGTTACCCGCAACACGTTCCACCCGCGTTAACTCTAACTGCGCGTTACCTGCAACACGTTCTAACCGCGTTACCTGCAACACGTTCTAACCGCGTTACCTGCAACACGTTCTAACCGCGTTACCTGCAACACGTTCTAACCGCGTTACCTGCAACACGTTCTAACCGCGTTACCTGCAACACGTTCTAACCGCGTTACCTGCAACACGTTCTAACCGCGTTACCTGCAACACGTTCTAACCGCGTTACCTGCAACACGTTCTAACCGCGTTACCTGCAACACGTTCTAGCCGCGTTACCTGCAACACGTTCTAGCCGCGTTACCTGCAACACGTTCTAGCCGCGTTACCTGCAACACGTTCTAGCCGCGTTACCTGCAACATGTTCTAGCCGCGTTACCTGCAACATGTTCTAGCCGCGTTAACTGTGCTGTTAGCTGTGTGTGTGGCGCTCACATGCAGGATGGCGCGCACGTTGCTGGACGTCAGGTTATGCTGTTTGGACTTCCTGTCCAGGTCGATGTCCAGTCGTCCCAGTTCATCGTCACTGGATTCGCTGGTCTCCATGGTGACCACCTCCTCAGCCATCACTCCACCACCTGAGGAGACGACGGACATCACTTTAAGGTCAGCAGGGCTCGACAACAGGGGCCAGTAAAAAGTAACATCGGGACAGTTGAACTAGCAACTCACTGCTCCGATCAGGCCAGTGCAAAAACACATAAAAATAAAAACATGAAACTCAACATCCTGAGGTTGTTTTGCAGCTTGTGGCGCGCACCGATGTCCAATCCAGAGTTGTAGTTACGTGATGAGAGGTTGTCAAATGTTATTTTTCTAATCTCAGTCATGTGGCAACCTCTGGGTCAAAAGTGAAACCATGCAGACGGAACTTAAAGCTGCATCCTCTCTAACGGCCAGCAGGGGACGAGTTCCATTGGTAAAATGTTTCTACTTGTCAGCTGATTTATTCCCTCAGTAAACACTTTCCTGATGAGTTTCTGGTCTCAGTCGCTAGTTTCAAGTCTTCTTCAACACAGCATGATGTTCATTTAGTAAATTATGGTCCCATTTAGAGGAACAGAGACCAGGAAGCAGGGGAGGCTTTAGGGCGGAGCTACAAGCTGACTGACAGGTCGCTACCATGGCAACCTGTTCATCAGGATAGAGGCGACTCGTGTCTTCTGCTCTGTGTACATTTTTCATAGATGGCTGTCAGCAGGAGAGAGAGCACGTCATGTTTGAGTCTGTTAGTATGTTTTGTTTTAAAAGTAAATTGTTTTGTTAACTTTTTTATTTTTTATAATTTTAACTGTGTTTCTTTATATCCAGGATGTATTTAATAAATGATTAAACGCTTTTCGAAGGAGGGACAGTAAAAATGATCTTCGGGCCGGTGAGTTTCGAACCCACTGGCCCGGTTGAGCCCTGGTCAGTCAGACGCTATGAAGCTAAAATCAAACACTTTACTCTGGGGCTGCACGATTTGGACAAAAGGTCATACTGCGACTAATAATGAGTATGCTTGGTTAATTATCAAGGAATGCATGAAATACTGACATTTTGAAATGTGTATTTCTCAACTTGAACAAAGTCAATCTATATTTATAACAATAACAAGTATAACAGATGTGAAACAGAACAAGGGGAGCTTGTTGCTCTGCAGAGGAGGCGGCTAGAAGCAGCACATGTTGGTCCACCAGCTCAGTGTCCATCTGTCCACAGCAGAGTCTCTGTCCACAACCTGGAGGAGGAACTGTGCACCAGTGTATTAAATAAAGAGTATAATATTTAGTTAATAGTTTACTGTTAGTATAACAATAATATGTCAAATACTACATTCATTCGGATTTTTAAGAATATTAAGAAAAAAACTAAATAACTGACACGCCAAAATTACGTCGGTCAGAGGTTCTGAATTTGGGTTTCGAATCCTTTCGAGTTGATCGCCCAGCACTACTGCAGGTGTGGCTCCGCCTCCGTCTGGGGTGGCGACGGGGCAGTGGATTAGACACATGCCTTTGGTGTGAGAGACCCAGGTTCAATTCCCACCGCGACCCACCCACCAATGTGTCTATGAGCAAGACCTTTAACCCCTCGTAGCTGCAGAGGCGTGCGACAGATACAGCAGCTGTCCGTCGCTTTGATAAAAGCTTCAGCTAAATGAATACATGTATTTAGACTAACTCCTTATAAACACACTGACGCAACCATGTTCATGATGTCATCGTGATGTCACCACGTTCTGACAGGAATTGACTGAGGTGGAAACGGTCGTCGCCGGGCGTCTCTGTAGCAACACGATGCTTCACTTATTCCGGGATGTTGTGACACATTTGACCTTCATAGAAACCTGCAGCTCCTGATATCTGGATTGTGATTTAAATGTTATTAACAGGAAGTGTTCAGTTCTGTGTCACCTGAGACGGGTGGTCTTATCTCTTCCCGTCTGTCCTTAGTGGAACTTCCTGTGTGAGCTGTGGACGCCGTCTTAGACTTCCTGTCCACTCTGAAGACCGTGGCGTCTCTGGCCGCCCTCAAAGACTTGGACTCCAGAGGACAGACGTCTTCTTCTGCAGGCCGCCGCCGCTCCATCTGCTGCAACACACAGAGGAGGACCGATCATCAGTGTTCAGTACATAGTGAAGACAGAGAGACAGGCGGGGGTTTGGCCCTTTAACTAGCTCGGGTTAAGCTTTAGAAACCGGGCCAGCTCACACTGACCCGGGTTAGTGACCCTGACCTGTCTGATATCAGCTGTTTGTTTTCAGTGAGGAACCACCTCGGATACTCAGCTCAACGCATGTTATAATCTAAAAGAGAATAAAGCGTCATCATTCTTGCTCTGCATGTTTAACTAAATCCCGGTCAGGGCGGAGCTTATGATGATCTGCTCTTTATAAATCCTGATTATGATCTCAGGGACTCTCTTTGTTTATAGCTTCTCTAAGTGTTTCAGATAAAAGTGCTCTGACAGAAATGTGTGAAAAGGTGTTTTCAGGCCGTCAGGGTCTGGGCCCGGGTCAAGGTCTCAGCTCTTTATAAGATCTCTGGCTCACACAGTGGTGTAGTCTATGTGATACGATGATACGAAACAACGTCGTTTTGTGACAGAACTTTCACACTTTAATCATAAATTCACCTGTCTGTGTTGCAAATCACTGAGTGTTGGGACTTCCGTGGCCGGGATCTGACGTCACCTAAGGTAAAGGTACTTTATTTGTCACGTACACATGTATGTGCATTTTACCCATCCCTGAGGAAGCAGCGGGCAGACACGGGGAGAACACGCAAACTCCACACAAAAGGGACGACCGGAGTTTCGAACCCACGACCTTCTTGCTATGAGGCCACAGTGGTATCCACCGGACCACCGTGCTGCCAAACAACAACACCACAGCTGCCTGCCCGTCACTCAGTGCAAGTCTGAAATTAGTGCATGTGAATCCCTGAAGGAGACATGACACGACAGCAAACTACACTGTTGGGGTTTCTGTAAGCCTGCGGCTGACGCTCCTCCCGCTGACCCTCCAGCGGCTGACGCTCCTCCCGCTGACGCTCCTGCGGCTGACGCTCCTCCCGCTGACGCTCCTGCGGCTGACGCTCCTCCCGCTGACGCTCCTGCGGCTGACCCTCCTCCCGCTGACGCTCCTCCCGCTGACGCTCCTGCGGCTGACGCTCCTCCCGCTGACGCTCCTGCGGCTGACGCTCCTCCCGCTGACGCTCCTCCCGCTGACGCTCCTGCGGCTGACGCTCCTCCCGCTGACGCTCCTCCCGCTGACGCTCCTCCCGCTGACCCTCCAGCGGCTGACGCTCCTCCCGCTGACCCTCCTGGGGCTGACGCTCCTCCCGCTGACCCCTACAGCGGCTGACGCTCCTCCCGCTGACCCCTACAGCGGCTGACGCTCCTGCGGCTGACGCTCCTCCCGCTGACCCCTACAGCGGCTGACGCTCCTCCCGCTGACCCCTACAGCGGCTGACGCTCCTGCGGCTGACGCTCCTCCCGCTGACCCTCCTGGGACTGACGCTCCTCCCGCTGACCCCTCCTGGGGCTGACGCTCCTGCGGCTGACCCTCCTGCGGCTGACCCTCCAGCGGCTGACGCTCCTCCCGCTGACCCTCCAGCGGCTGACCCTCCTGCGGCTGACGCTCCTGCGGCTGACCCTCCTGCGGCTGACGCTCCTCCCGCTGACGCTCCTGCGGCTGACCCTCCTCCCGCTAACGCTCCTGCGGCTGACCCTCCTCCCGCTGACGCTCCTCCCGCTGACCCTCCTGCGGCTGACCCTCCAGCGGCTGACCCTCCAGCGGCTGACGCTCCTGCGGCTGACCCTCCTCCCGCTGACGCTCCTCCCGCTGACCCTCCTCCCGCTGACGCTCCTCCCGCTGACGCTCCAGCGGCTGACGCTCCTCCCGCTGACCCTCCCGGGGCTGACGCTCCTCCCGCTGACGCTCCTGCGGCTGACCCTCCAGCGGCTGACCCTCCTCCCGCTGACGCTCCTGCGGCTGACGCTCCTGCGGCTGACGCTCCTGCGGCTGACCCTCCTCCCGCTGACGCTCCTGCGGCTGACCCTCCAGCGGCTGACGCTCCTCCCGCTGACCCCTCCTGGGGCTGACGCTCCTCCCGCTGACCCCTCCTGGGTCTGACGCTCCTCCCGCTGACCCCTACAGCGGCTGACGCTCCTCCCGCTGACCCCTCCTGGGACTGACGCTCCTGCGGCTGACGCTCCTCCCGCTGACCCCTCCTGGGGCTGACGCTCCTCCCGCTGACCCTCCTGGGGCTGACGCTCCTCCCGCTGACCCTCCTGGGGCTGACGCTCCTCCCGCTGATCCCTCCTGGGTCTGACGCTCCTCCCGCTGACCCTACAGCGGCTGACGCTCCTCCCGCTGACCCCTCCTGGGACTGACGCTCCTGCGGCTGACGCTCCTCCCGCTGACCCTCCAGCGGCTGACGCTCCTCCCGCTGACGCTCCTGCGGCTGACCCTCCAGCGGCTGACGCTCCTCCCGCTGACCCCTCCTGGGGCTGACGCTCCTCCCGCTGACCCCTCCTGGGGCTGACGCTCCTCCCGCTGACCCCTCCTGGGTCTGACGCTCCTCCCGCTGACCCCTACAGCGGCTGACGCTCCTCCCGCTGACCCCTCCTGGGACTGACGCTCCTGCGGCTGACGCTCCTCCCGCTGACCCCTCCTGGGGCTGACGCTCCTCCCGCTGACCCTCCTGGGGCTGACGCTCCTCCCGCTGACCCTCCTGGGGCTGACGCTCCTCCCGCTGATCCCTCCTGGGTCTGACGCTCCTCCCGCTGACCCCTACAGCGGCTGACGCTCCTCCCGCTGACCCCTCCTGGGACTGACGCTCCTGCGGCTGACGCTCCTCCCGCTGACCCTCCAGCGGCTGACGCTCCTCCCGCTGACGCTCCTGCGGCTGACCCTCCAGCGGCTGACCCTCCAGCGGCTGACGCTCCTCCCGCTGACGCTCCTGCGGCTGACCCTCCTGCGGCTGACCCTCCTGCGGCTGACCCTCCTCCCGCTGACGCTCCTGCGGCTGACCCTCCTCCCGCTGACGCTCCTGCGGCTGACCCTCCTCCCGCTGACGCTCCTCCCGCTGACCCCTCCTGGGTCTGACGCTCCTCCCGCTGACCCCTACAGCGGCTGACGCTCCTCCCGCTGACCCCTCCTGGGGCTGACGCTCCTCCCGCTGACCCTCCTGGGGCTGACGCTCCTCCCGCTGACCCCTACAGCGGCTGACGCTCCTCCCGCTGACCCCTCCTGGGACTGACGCTCCTCCCGCTGACCCCTCCTGGGACTGACGCTCCTCCCGCTGACCCCTCCTGGGGCTGACGCTCCTCCCGCTGACCCCTCCAGCGGCTGACGCTCCTCCCGCTGACCCCTCCTGGGGCTGACGCTCCTCCCGCTGACCCTCCTGGGACTGACGCTCCTCCCGCTGACCCTCCTGGGACTGACGCTCCTCCCGCTCCAGGTTACACGAACGTTAAAGTTAGTGAAACGACCGAAAACGAGCCAGATGCTGTCGTACCCTCACCTGCTGAGTTAAAGTAGCATTTCCGTTCTCATGAGTGTTGAACTGCACGTAGAACTAGTGAACTTAACTAATGTTAGCGTTGTGGATCAGTGGATGTGGGACACGGGGGGGGGTACAGTAGTATTATTAGCAGTATCTGGATGCTGGCAGATGTACTCCAGCTGACACAGTACACAGCCTCAGAGTAGAGGTGGACCGCTGTTCATAATCTTCCGTTTGTCTGAGTTTTGGTGACAGAAACGCACAAACGCTCTTCGTTATTTCTGAGCCTCAGCTTTCCATTATTGCTGATAACAGCTGCAGGTTCAGCCCTCAGCTGGCTGTTACAGTCTGTGACTGCAGTGGACGGACTGACCAGAAGAAGCAGACATCACCTCTGGCCTCACAGCTTCTTCTCAACTCCTCATTTACTTCAGGAACATGAAGCTAACGCTAGCTAAGCTAACACACCGCGGCAGTCAGTCACACTGAGCATGCGCAGTGGCGGCTTCAGTGTGTCCATGTTAGTGGCGCGAAGTTTGGCTGAAACATTAGTGCTAAAGAAGCGGAAGCTTGAAACATGAGACCGAGTCTGTGACTCTGAGGACTCACCTTCACACTGACGCCGGCGGCCGTCCGTTACTCCGCCATGTTAGCCCCGTGAGCCCCGTTAGCTCCTGTTAGCTTCCGTTAGCCTCTCTTCCGCCAACAACAACATCACTTCCGGCCTGAGTCTTTCACAATAAAAGCAGACCAATGTGGAGGGTACCTGCTTCCACATCAACAACGTCTGATCTGCCGAATGATGCGGCCACCTCCTCCGGTCCTGTTCAGACACTTATTTAAGACCCCATAATTAAAAAGTACACATTAGAGGTACTGGTACTTCCACTCTCTGCTCCACCACACCTGCTTTCAGTTAAAAACTCCAGTTAGATTTTATTTTACTTTAATTTTTTTATTTTGGCTGTGTGTCATCATTTCATCTGAGTCAGTTATTCTGCTTTTTATCATTCTGTCTTGTGTCATGCAACTTTTAGAGAAGGACTTGCTGCTGCGGCAAACCAGGAAAGGCTCACTGAGATTGTAAGAATAGAACGTAATTAATAAAAAAGTGGGAGATGTTGCATTTTTCACTTCACATTTCTCTGACAGCTTCAGTTACTTTACAAAGTCAGATTTTACACAAACACGTCAAGATAAAGATACATAAAATATGATGTTGACAGGATTATCAGACTAATAGTGAAATTAACTGGCAAAAACTTTGATGGTTTAAGACATTTTTCACATAAACAGTTCAATTTGCTGCTTTTCCTTTCCCTAATTATTTACATTTATTTGTAATAATGTTGAAGTTTTTGATGTTGGTTGCAGAAAACAAAGCGTCACTTTGGTCTCCGGGTAACTGGGACGGCATTTCTCACTTTTTTCACATTTCTGTAACCTTAAAATGTAAAAAGAAATAAACCTGTTTCTAATTAATAACATTGTGTAAGTTTAAATTCAGAGACATGACAGAACTATCAGTACTTTTTACTAAGTATTTTTAATAGCAGGCACTTTTGTATTTTGACTCAAGTAGACATTTTAATTGAAGACTTCTACTTTTAGTGGAGTAATGTTTATTCTTTGCACTAGTGGCGATGGAGCAGTGGATAAGACACATGCCTTTGGTGTGTTTGATTCCCACTCTGACACGTCCACCAGTGTGTCCCTCAGTGAGACATGATATTATGGAGATGAATTTGTCTCAATATTATCTTGTGAACAAATCAACGATCCATGTATAAACATGTAATCTGCAAATATTAAATGCTTTTCACAAATACAATGAATGATTTGTAAAAAATATATGGAAATATAAAAGATATCTTCAAATATACAAACTAGTTCCACCATAAAGAACTGATGGGACCATAATTTACTAAATGAACATCATGCTGTGTTGAAGAAGACTTGAAACTAGCGACTGAGACCAGAAACTCATCAGGAAAGTGTTTACTGAGGGAATAAATCAGCTGACAAGTAGAAACATTTTCTCACAGACTTCTATACAATCACACTTCTTTCTGCAGCCGCTGGAGTCGCCCCCTGCTGGCTGCTAGAGAGGACGCAGGTTTAAGTCGCCCCCTGCTGGCTGCTAGAGAGGACGCAGCTTTAAGGCGCCCCTGCTGGCTGCTAGAGAGGACGCAGGTTTAAGTCGCCCCCTGCTGGCTGCTAGAGAGGACGCAGGTTTAAGTCGCCCCCTGCTGGCTGCTAGAGAGGACGCAGGTTTAAGTCGCCCCCTGCTGGCTGCTAGAGAGGACGCAGCTTTAAGGCGCCCCCTGCTGGCCGCTGGAGAGGACGCAGCTTTAAGGCGCCCCTGCTGGCTGCTAGAGAGGACGCAGGTTTAAGTCGCCCCCTGCTGGCCGCTAGAGAGGACGCAGGTTTAAGTCGCCCCCTGCTGGCCGCTAGAGAGGACACAGGTTTAAGTCGCCCCCTGCTGGCCGCTAGAGAGGACGCAGGTTTAAGTCGCCCCCTGCTGGCCGCTAGAGAGGACGCAGGTTTAAGTCGCCCCCTGCTGGCCGCTAGAGAGGACGCAGGTTTAAGTCGCCCCTGCTGGCCGCTAGAGAGGACGCAGGTTTAAGGCGCCCCCTGCTGGCCGCTAGAGAGGACGCAGGTTTAAGTCGCCCCCTGCTGGCCGCTGGAGAGGACGCAGGTTTAAGTCGCCCCCTGCTGGCCGCTGGAGAGGACGCAGGTTTAAGTCGCCCCCTGCTGGCCGTTAGAGAGGACGCAGGTTTAAGTCGCCCCCTGCTGGCCGCTAGAGAGGACGCAGGTTTAAGTCGCCCCCTGCTGGCCGCTAGAGAGGACGCAGGTTTAAGTCGCCCCCTGCTGGCCGCTGGAGAGGACGCAGGTTTAAGTCGCCCCTGCTGGCCGTTAGAGAGGACGCAGGTTTAAGTCGCCCCCTGCTGGCCGCTAGAGAGGACGCAGGTTTAAGTCGCCCCCTGCTGGCCGCTAGAGAGGACGCAGGTTTAAGTCGCCCCCTGCTGGCCGCTGGAGAGGACGCAGGTTTAAGTCGCCCCCTGCTGGCCGCTGGAGAGGACGCAGGTTTAAGTCGCCCCCTGCTGGCCGCTAGAGAGGACGCAGGTTTAAGTCGCCCCCTGCTGGCCGCTGGAGAGGACGCAGGTTTAAGTCGCCCCCTGCTGGCTGCTCGAGAGACCTGGAGGTTCCTGCTTGGTTTAACCCCCAACAAGGTGGTTTATTTGTTATGATACAGCAAAGGCAAAAGGTTAAAATATGGTCAAATTTAAAATACATAAAATAATATATGGAGCTATTTATATACAGACACGTGTCCACCCAGAACATTCTGCAAACCTCCCTCTCCACTGAGTGTGTTTCTGACCCTGCATCCTGTGTGAAGGCACCTCAGATGACCTGCATCCTCGCTTCTCTACTAGAGAACCTTTATTAGGTTCGGGTCGATTGAAAGTGAAGGAAAATCACATGAGAGCGCTGCGCTGCTGAGGCGAGGCTGCAGATTCACTGTTCCAACTGTAGTTTCCCGCTGTGACCAGCAGGGGGCGCTGCAGACCCGCAGCCCCCTCCAGCCTCAGCGCGGTCTGCAGGTGCTGATGATGGTGATGATGATGGTTTGGTGAAACTCTCACAGACGTTTAAGGGTTAAATTAAACGGCCGGGGGGGGGGGGGGGGGGGGCTCCTCCTCCGTCTGGCTGAATCTGCTCTGACAGCTCAGACTCCGAGGAGGAAGAGGAGGAGGAGGAGGAGGAGGAGTGTCGGTGCAGCGGCTCCGTCAGTCAGTAAATGGTCTGTGGCATAACGGAGAGGAGTCATGCTCGGTAGGATGATGATGATGCTGCTTCTTCAGCTCAGCGGTAAGAAAAGAAAAAGATCTGCATGTCTTCCTGTTTCCTTCATCTCCTCCATCATCTTCATCAGCTGCTACCGGAGCGGGTTTTAACGGCTCCTCCCGGTGTGTGTGTTTGACGACGATGCAGTAAAACTACAATGTAGCTGATCCTCTGTGTGTGTGTGTGTGTGTGGATGCGCGCGTACGTGTGCGCGCTGCTGCCGTTAACTTCGCAACCCGTGTGTAAATATAGAAATCACTGCGTCAGAGCGGCGGGCTGACGTAGAAACCCGGTAAATATCCGGGTCTGTGTGAGCTGCATTCCTCCACAGCCAAGCAGCCTCTTCATCATCAGCAGCAGCATCATCATCATCATCATCATGTTGCAGCAGATGATGCTCCACCTGTGTGACAGCAGAGACACGTGACCTGCCGCAGGTTTAAAGAGTCGCTCATGTTTTATTGTATTTTAGTTCTGTGCTGGAAGAAGTACCGGTAATACTACAGTGAAAACACCTGTTACAAGAGAACCACCAACGCAGTATACGCAGCAACACTAACGTCAGAGAGCTGGAGTCCTATAAATACTGTTCTGTGTATAAGTATATGTATACAGCAGACAGAGTACACGGTGTAAATACTTCTGTCTGATCAGGAGGGTTCATGAAAACAGATGAAACGATGTTTGATGGAACCTGCAGAGGCTATAGGGGCTTATTTCAGCCCTGAGTAGCGTCTGCAGGCTTCCTGCAGCTTCAGCCTGCAACCCGAAGGGGGGGGGGCAGACTGTATGATGCCTGGAAGGCAAAACCCAGGGCTGTTCCTGAGTATTTCCTTCAGACTGGAATTTACATGGAGCATAAAACCTGAACAGATTTAGTTTGGACAAAAACCTGATCCCAGACCACCTGAGAGGTTTGGATCCAGCATGGAGAACAGAAGGTAGAGTTACTTTCAAATTTCCCCGAAACCACCCGACCACCCGCACATCACTACCGCCCAGAATAAAACCCAGTTCCAGAGTTTCCTAAGTAAAACCGGGTCAGCAGCATGTAGCACCCGTAGAGACAGAAGTCCACCTCAGACCTGTAGAGACAGAAGTCTATCTGAGACTGCAGGGCTCTTAATCTGAAACACTGCAGCCCAGACAGACACAGATCATATCCTGGATCAATAAGCCTGGATCCACCACAGGATGTGACACGTTTGAAAACATGAATGGATGAAGAACCCGATTCGTCTTCAGGTCATCAGGAAGTTTGACCTCCTAAGCCAATAGCAGAGTCACACTGCTATTGGCTGATTGATGCTTCACAATGATTGGCTGATTGATGGCAGCCCCTCCTCCTGTTTCATATTGTTGATTTAACTTTCGTCTGCGCAGAGGGACGACTTCTGCAGCGACATCATGGCTGCACCGCAGTGGGTGTCCTCTACCGCCACAAGACTGGCCAATGGAAAGCCAGCGCTTTGGTTTCAGTTTAAACGCCACGCTCAGGTGTGAATTAACGGACGGAGAGATTTCAGCGCTGCTGGAGGTGCAGGCGTCTGCAGGTGATCCTGGAAGGTATAAAACCTGCCGACAGGTGCAAAGTCCACCTGTGTCTGTGTGTCCACATGTTCGTTCTCACGGTGAAACACAAACACTGAGCGTGTGGCCACATTCAGCAGGTGTTTGTGTTCAGTACACACAGTACTGGAGTATTTCTCTTCAGACTGCAGTATTTGGATTATTGTTGATCTGCTGCTGAAGTGAAACTTTCTCCTTCCTGTTTACAAAAACTTCATCTTCACCATGGCAACGAACGTTTGCGTAAACACTGATCAGCTGATCTCAATGCTGTCAGTCTGTGTATCCTGGTGTTTCCTAATGTGTGTCCTGGTGTTTTCAGGTGAGTCCTGATGTGTCCTGGTGTTTCCGGGTGTGTCCTGGTGTTTCCAGGTGAGTCCCAATGTGTCCTGGTGTTTCCGGGTGTGTCCTGGTGTTTCCAGGTGAGTCCCGATGTGTCCAGGTGTGTCCGGGTGTGTCCGGGTGTGTCCTCATGTTTCCTGGTGTGTCCGGGTGTTTTTAGGTGTGTCCTGGTGTGTCCTCATGTTTCCTGGTGTGTCCGGGTGTGTCCAGGTGTGTCCGGGTGTGTCCGGGTGTTTCTGGGTGTGTCCTGGTGTGTCCTCATGTTTCCTGGTGTGTCCAGGTGTGTCCAGGTGTGTCCGGGTGTGTCCAGGTTGTCCAGGTGTGTCCTGGTGTGTCCTCATGTTTCCTGGTGTGTCCTGGTGTTTCCGGGTGTGTCCAGGTGTGTCCAGGTGTGTCCGGGTGTGTCCGGGTGTGTCCAGGTTGTCCAGGTGTGTCCTGGTGTGTCCGGGTGTGTCCGGGTGTGTCCGGGTGTTTTCAGGTGTGTCCTGGTGTGTCCTCATGTTTCCTGGTGTGTCCTCATGTTTCCTGGTGTGTCCGGGTGTTTCTGGGTGTTTTCAGGTGTGTCCTGGTGTTTCCGGGTGTGTCCGGGTGTTTTCGGGTGTGTCCAGGTGTGTCCTCATGTTTCCTGGTGTGTCCTCATGTTTCCGGGTGTGTCCGGGTGCGTCCAGGTTGTCCAGGTGTGTCCTGGTGTGTCCTCATGTTTCCTGGTGTGTCCGGGTGTTTCTGGGTGTGTCCAGGTTGTCCTGGTGTTTTCAGGTGTTTCCAGGTGAGTCCCGATGTGTCCGGGTGTGTCCAGGTGTGTCCTGGTGTGTCCTCATGTTTCCTGGTGAGTCCTGATGTGTCCTGGTGTGTCCAGGTGTGTCCGGGTGTGTCCAGGTGTGTCCTCATGTTTCCTGGTGTTTTCAGGTGTGTCCAGGTGTGTCCGGGTGTGTCCAGGTTGTCCAGGTGTGTCCGGGTGTTTTCAGGTGTTTTCAGGTGTGTCCGGGTGTTTTCAGGTGTTTTCAGGTGTGTCCGGGTGTTTTCAGGTGTGTTCGGGTGTGTCCTCATGTTTTCTGGTGTGTCCGGGTGTTTTCAGGTGTTTCCGGGTGTGTCCGGGTGTTTTCAGGTGTGTTCGGGTGTGTCCTCATGTTTCCTGGTGTGTCCGGGTGTTTTCAGGTGTGTCCTGGTGTTTTCAGGTGAGTCCTGATGTGTCCAGGTGTTTCTGGGTGTGTCCCTGTGTTTTCAGGTGTGTCCTGGTGTTTTCAGGTGTGTTCGGGTGTTTTCAGGTGTGTCCTGGTGTTTTCAGGTGTGTTCGGGTGTGTCCTCATGTTTCCTGGTGTGTCCGGGTGTGTCCAGGTTGTCCTGGTGTTTTCGGGTGTGTCCAGGTTGTCCTGGTGTTTTCAGGTGTGTCCGTGTGTTTTCAGGTGTGTCCAGGTTGTCCTGGTGTTTTCAGGTGTGTCCGGGTGTTTTCAGGTGTTTTCAGGTTGTCCTGGTGTGTCCGGGTGTGTCCAGGTTGTCCTGGTGTTTTCGGGTGTGTCCAGGTTGTCCTGGTGTTTTCAGGTGTGTCCGGGTGTTTTCAGGTGTTTTCAGGTTGTCCTGGTGTGTCCGGGTGTTTTCAGGTGTGTCCAGGTTGTCCTGGTGTGTCCGGGTGTTTTCAGGTGTTTTCAGGTGTGTCCGGGTGTTTCCGGTTGTGTCCAGGTGTCTGGTCAGTGTTTGCAGCCCAGTTCAGTCCTGTCCTGAGTTTCCTCCTCACTTCCTGGCTGGTGTGAGGTTGTTTCTGCGCGTTTGAACGATGAACACACCTGAGAGGTCTGGAACTAAACCAGAAACCTCACATACATTGAGATCCTACATACAGAAGGGCTCCGGCTTCGGACTAGAAGTAAATATAAAAACAACATTCGTGTTAAACCCAACGTTTGTTGAGTGACGGCCATTTTCTTCTCTGTCTTTGTCGCTGTTTCTTTAAGCGTGTTACCTCAACCTGTAGATCAGTGAACAGTGTGAGATCATTGGTCGGCTGAGTATTGCATCACCCACGTGCACACACACGCATGTGCGCGAGATCGATCCCTCTTAACCATAATAAATAATAAAACACCACCGTAGTTTCACTGCAGGTCAAAATTCACTGAATCACATGAAGAAGAGATGTGTTGATGTTCAGTGTGAACAGAACAATTAAACCAGTTTTGGTGTCAACACCTGGCTCCATTAACAGCACCTGTCACACCTGCACACCTGTCACTCAGAGACACCTGAGAAGGTGAGTCCTGCCGCTCACAGGTTCATTGTTTCTGAAACCAGGATCTGATGTTTCCAGGTTTCCATTCCTCTTTGGCTGCTGCCTTCATCATCGTCACCACTGAGTTCAGTCTGAAGGTGAACTCTGTGTTCACGGTGTCGTCTCAGTGATGTCACTCTGTGAACCTGCGGGCTCAGACAGAAACACAGGAGAAAATCAGTGTTATCTGAATGTTTTGTTGTCGTACTCTCTGGTCCAGGGGGAGGGGCATGTGACAGACGGAGCCGTCGATTGGCTACTTTTGGTAGAGCTGCCACCTGTTAAACCTTTATTAGGTAATCAGCAGCACTGTCTCTACAATAAAGAGTAGAATACTACATCTTGTTAATGTAGTTGCTGCGTCTCTTTCTCTTTTACCTCTCTGTACTTGTGGTAAAGTCATGACCTCCAGACTACAAGTTTGACGTTGGACGATTCTGCAAAACCTGGAATCACTTCCAGTTTCTGCAACACGTGTCGACAGTCATCTTCAGTGTAAAACAGAAAGTGTTTGCTGAGATGTCCTTTGTGTTGTCAACTTGTTCTTTCAGTCTTCTGGTGAAGGAGCGACAGCACCTCCAGAGTCTCCCCCCGTTTCTTTATCAGTATCTCAGCTAATCACAAACTTAAGGTGAACTAACCTCACATGTGTTTCTCCTGCAGGTCATGTGACTTCTCGTGGAGGATGGGCAGTCAGAGTTAAGCTAGCTTCCAGTGGACAGGAGGTCTGAGGTGAGACGAGGGATCATGGGAGATGGAGGACCCCTGCAGACCGAGGGGAATGCCCTCCTCAAAGCAGTCTTCCAGGGGAAGTTGAGGCTGACCCGCCTGCTGCTGGAGGGCGGAGCTTACATCAACGAGGGCAACGATCGCGGAGAGACTCCCATCTCGGCAGCCTGCTTAGCGAGCTACGATGATCCGCAGACCCGGCTGAGGATGGTGAGGTACCTGCTAGAGAAAGGTGCCGATCCGAACATCCCCGACAAGAGCGGGAGGACGGCACTGATGCACGCCTGCGCCGAGCAGGCAGGGAAAGAGGTGGTTTCACTCCTGCTGGAGAACGGAGCTGATCCCAGCCTCAAAGACTACTCTGGCTCCTCCGCCCTCGTCCACGCCATCAACCGGGGAGACCGCAACACTCTGCAGGTGTTGTTGGATGCCTGCAAGGCCAAAGGCAAGGAGGTGATCATCATCACCACTGACACATCTCCGTCTGGCACCAAGAAGACCAAACAGTACCTCAACTCCCCCCCCTCACCGGGCATCGTGGACAAACTGTCTCCTGACTGCATGTCCCCCTCTGAGGTGGAGATCGGCACCTCCTCGCCGGCAGCAGACAAGAGCAAAGACGAGGAGGGGATCTTCAGCTTTGCGCTCACCTCTGCTTTACCTTTACCTTCAGCTCGACCGCCGGGGGAAAAGAGACCACCGCCACGCAAACTGCTGAAGAGGCTGAACTCAGAGCCCTGGGGCCTGGTGGCGCCCTCAGTGCTGAGCGGGGTTCCTCATGAGAGGGTTGACGGGGGTCTGGAAGAAGAGGGCGGATGTGACCTGAGCAGGATGATTGCTGAGATTAACGGCCTATCCATCACAGAACCAGTGAGACCTCTGCTGTCACGGCGACACAGCATTGAGACCCACGACCCCTGTTCCCCCAAACTCATCGACCGGTCCTGCTCCGAGGACTGCGCAGCCCTCTCTGGTTCTTCCTGGGCCGACAAAGTCCAACAGCACCAGATCCTGTACCGCAGGAATACAGCCCCGGAGTCCCAGGAGAACGCCGGGGTACCAGGGGCTATTGCGGCCCGGGCCCTGGCTCACCCCAAACTGACCCGGATGGAGCACTATGAGTCAGACACCCACCTCAGCCCGGAGTCCATCCCTGGCTCTCCCGACTCTGGTCGGGTGTCTGTGGAGCGGAGGAGATACAATGCCTCCCCCCTTTCCCTAGTCACCAGCTCCTCCAGAGAGTCTTTAGAGAACATCCCCAACTCTGTGTCTCCTATAATGCGCA